GCGATTCAGTAAGTGCCTTTGCTGGTAAAGGAAAGATAGGGGCTCTTAAAATCCTTAAAAGCAATGAAGGCGCAAGAAGAGCGTTCCGAGAGCTTGGCCAGTCCTGGACAGTATCAGAGGACCTTTACACTTTGCTTGAGAAGTTCACCTGCTCCATGTACATACCAGTCGGCAACACAACCAGCCACGTGAATGATGCACGATACGAGCTGTTCTGTGCAAAGAATGGGGAACTGGAGTCACACCAGCTACCTCCTTGCCAGGACTCCCTTCGGAAACACATTCTTCGTGCAAACTACCAAGCGGGTTAGTTGACAATGCCTGTTTCTATTAAATATTTGTCACAGGAAATGTGATGAGGATAACAACTAATTTAGTATTACATCACTCCTGCAGCTTTATGGAGACGGAGCCTGGAGGCTAACCCAGACATTCCCAGTCCAGTTGGTATGGGGTGGATAACACAGACCTCCACTGACGCTGCATCCACTGAACTAGTGATCGACTGGATGGACGGGCAGCCAGCTCCTTCTGCTGTCCTGGAACTGCTGGCGTGTAAATGTAAGAAGACCTGTGAACTCCCAAGTTGTGTTTGCATGAACAGTGGTTTGAAGTGCACGGATCTCTGCTCGCTAAACGACTGCACCAACCAGCCAGCTCAAGACGATTCATCAAACATTATTGATAATGAAGCAGACGAAGATGATGATGATGACTTTTAATGAACTTTGTAGATTGCAAATATTCTGGGTTGTTAGAGAAACAGCAACTTCCATTTTCAATAGGAATGCATGCCGCAGTAGCTAAAACTTAAAAGGAAAGTTTCTTCAAATAAAGAAAAATGCGCTTTTTTGCATGAAGATGAGTTTCCTTCCCAGAAAAATATACTTCAATTAGTAAAAATTGAAGTTTTTTAACAATATCGTAAGCAGCAATGCCAAAAATAGCTAGAGCCGCGAGTCTGGGAGACTGGGAACGAGTGTTTAAAAATGAATATTACGGCAGAATATTATTGTTTAGACAGGGATTTGCATCAGCTTGCACAATTGAACGTTAAATGTAAAGTCGAACCATTGAGATAACTTTTAAAATACTTCGGAAGGTACATATTTCATCTTTTTGCCAATCTGAAAACAGTAGTTCGGTATATTTGGCATTTTATGGCAATTCGACCTATCACGTGATCACTATGACGTGTATTTGGTGGTTAAGAGTGATTGTTAAGTCAATAACGTGTGACGTGAGCATATAAATTGGGCATTGTATGGATCATAACATACTTGTAAATTCTTTTCTTTATGTTCAGTAGGCTAAGTGAGTAAAAGTCCTCTTAGGGGGGTAGGGTGGGAAAAACGGCATGTAACGCTTAAAGATCACACTTTGTGCAGTGCTATCACACAAAAGTAAAAACTTGGGTTAATAACCTAGGTTTTTATAGGCATAAGTCTTTGTCCGTTTGAATGGCACCAATCGACCATTTTTGAGGTCCTGGCTCATACACTATTAAGCTCTCTTTTAGAATAGAGGTTTTGGTGTCTTGGTAAGCGATTCATAATCTGAGTGTCAAACAAGGATAAAAGAATTGACGAACTTAAAAGCAACATTAAAGAAAATACATCAAACATTTTCTTCGGCTGAATATTTACTTTAAGATTAATTCAGTCGAACGGGATTAAAACCGCATAAAGGCTTTTTAAAAAGAGCTAATTACACATACCAATCTTAGGGTTTTGAAGTGAATTCGAATAAAAGAAGGCGATGTGGGTAACTAAACAAGTATATAAACAAAGAAATAAAAACGGCGATAACCGACTGCTGGAAAAGTTGTTCGTGTTGTTTATTCACGATTGAAAGCTACATGCAATGGTTGACAACAACCTTTTCTGAAAAGTAGAAAACTAGCGAGGCGAAATTCAATGAAAAACGGCAGAATCTAGATTCAGGCAGCAGAAATGGAAAACAAACCTACAAACAGAGGAAAAATGTCGAATAAACGGTGCATGAGAGCAAGATTGTAGTACTTACAGCGTAGGTTATAAACCTAGTGATGCGACATCACGAGCCGCCTGTTGTGCTTTACTTTAGCGGTTTTCCTGGCTGACTTGCTTGATTCTCCCTTCAGATGTTTTGTCTGAATAACAAAATTCACTTTTCCCTAGCTAACGCTAATAATAGCGCAAGTTTTAAAAGAAAAATGGTTCTGAATCAACGGTTTTGCTCATTCACAACAACAAACAAACTTGTGAATGAAGCTGCCAACGATTCCACCCAAGTTAGCGGGCAAGATCGTAAAAAACTGCCCGCTCTCGGAACCAATCAGATTGCAGGATTTTGAGGATTCCGCCCGCTCGCAAGCTCAGAAAAAAATAAAAGGCTATATCAACTCGATACAAGATTTGTCTCACTCCAAAATCACTTAGCTTTTCCCTCAAAAGTCACATGAATGTGCCCTTAAGTTAACTGATTTGTGGAATACAAAATTATTGTTTGATTTAAGTCATAAATTTATGAATGGGAGCTTCGCTTTTAGCCGTGGCTAAATCTATATATTACTACTGTTTCAACTCAGATGTGATGTATAAATGGTATAAAAGGTTCGTTCACACGCACCCAGATTTGTTGGCAAGATTTTGCAAAGTAAACTTGTCGAACGCAAAAAATTTGGCCTGATTTTTTTTCCAGGCCTAATTAATCTACGGTGATCAAGAGCCATTATGGCTCTTAAATGTGATCGAAGATGATTACCATTTCTTGGATGTACGTATGAGACTATCAATTCGATGTAAGATTTGGTTCACTCTAGAACTGTTTGCAAATTATTTTTCTCTAAAATCACGTAGCCTTTCCCTCAAAAGTCACATAAATGTGTTCTAAAGTCAGCTGAATTGTGGAATACAAGTTTATTCTTTGATTTAAATTACAGATTTATTAATGGGAGCCTCCCTTTTAGCCCTGGCTAAATCTCTATATATTACCACTTATTAAGTTTTTGAGTTGCTAGGGTGACTCCAGAAAGCAGAGAGTCGCTGTTCTAGTATATACATTCATTGGCCTTAATTCAATCGTTCAGAAATGAACAAATTCGAGACCTTACCAAAAAGTCACATAAATATTTCAGGGTAAATGCCTTGTTTCTACCCACCTCAGTTAATCCAAAGGTGTGGACGTCGGGTAACAATGCCCTTGCCTATTGCAAAGAGGTTTTTCAGAAATATGGCCAAGGTTGTTACGCCGTAAGATGTAACAATTGACGCAAAATGTAGCATTAACGCGAAATGTAACAACTTTTTGACGCAAAATGAAACAATATGTTTAACGCGAAATGTAACAAGCAAAATGTTACAGCCTTGAAATAACTGAGAGACTTCGACACGAGCCTTGTTAATAAAGTGTAAATTGTCTGGTGGTTACAAAAAAAGGTTCATTTATAAAGTTTTTTGTTATAATATCAAATAAAGTTACAAAAAGTCGTAAAGCAGGTGATGGAGTTACAAGTCATGTATAACCTTGGAAAAGTGGTATGGACAGTAACAACAATGCTAACCTATTACATAGCGTATGGAAAATATCCTAAGGTAAGGTAAAGAATATGACTAGAAATGTCACAAAGGAGCGCTTATAATAACACCGTAGGAAACACGCACCAGTCAGCAATTAAAATGCAAGTTAAAAGTAAAAGTTAAGAAAGATAATCTTTCAAAACTAAATTTCCAACGTAGTCAACAAGAAAGTCTTTTTTAACCGGTCTTCTGGTAATGTGAGAAATTTCATACCAACCTAGTCCTGCTGCCTTGAAACTTAACCATACCGACGCAAATTTGTAACACTGTTGACTATCTCACGCGGTCAGATGACTGTTCCGCTCTGCGTTCGTTTTATAGCCATGATTTTTCTCAGGTTAACTTTCTTTATATCGGCCATTTTACTTAGTCCTGGCAAGTGCACTCTTGGCAGTGGTTGTCTGTCAACGGTGTTCTTGAAAAAACGAGAACAACCCTTAAAGTTTGGCCCATATAAGGATACATCGCGACAGTCCAGATGATGATCTTTTCCTGGGCATCTACATTTAATACGCCTTCTTCTGATGATACAACTTAATAACGATAAGTCTGAGGTGTAAAGTTATACTAAACCTGAGAAATTAAAACTAGCGTTTTATTATTGACTGTACCAATCTTCCGAGGTCATGTGACTTGCACCGCACATGCCTGTTTCAGGATTTAGTTACTATTATCGAAAAACATTTTGCAATTTTATTTCATATTATAAGGGGAAGGGGTGGATACCACCCACCCCCCATAAGGTTTTTTCTGAGTTTTTTCCTACAGGATAAAAGATTAGCACCTGATGTTTTCAGTAGCTGTTCTTTCATCCCTCGCGCGCATTTTGATTTAAGTTCAGTGATGGTCCGTTTCTATGGTTCCGAGATATGATGTCATAAGTAGCAGATAGTCAAGCCATTTTTGAGTGAAAATACATGTTGGTTCAACTTTTTTCAACAATAAAAGTAAATCTTGTCGCTAAAATCATGCAAAGTGCTTATTTATGTGTTGTTTTTCATGTCAAGCACAAAAGTATAACCACATCTCGCGGTTTTAACCTGATGTATAATTGAGGCCCCATTAGGGGTTTTCGGGATACGGGATATTCGCGGAAAAAATTACCCGGACACGGGATATTTGAGGAAAAAGTTATTAAGAAACTGGACATTGAGAAGTAGTTTCAGGGATACGGGATATTCGCAAAAAATTGTAACATATCAGATGTTTGATGAGAAACGTCCTTGGATTACTAAATACATGCCCTTTTCTGTATTTTTGTCGATGATTAGATATAAATAAAAAATATATAAGTGTAAAACAAACTGTTTGACCAGTCATCGGTTCATCATGGGCACTGTGGGGGTAACATGAAGTACTAAAAATAGTGCGCCAGCACTTAATCGAGGCAGCGCCACCCGATCGGGGCGAGACCTCTGTAATGGCGCAGGTCAAAGTGATTCATAACGTTACGTCATGAAGCGCGACCCTCAGAGACAACAGTGCGAACCACACGGTCTGGACGAACACCGCGACCCCGAGATCAATCATTATACCTGTTCTACGATTGACAGTCAAATATCCTCGCTTACTAATGACACTAATGTCTCTGTGGTTGATTAATACCAAAGATAAACTGTTGTTTGACACAAGTTGTACCATTTGTGTAACTGGACTGCACAGAACACATGAATTAACCAAATGCTCAGGACGGCAACTAACTAATAAAGGAACAAAATGAGAAAGGACTTTGATATCAGGCGATATGCAGAAATTAAGGGCATCAGGTGAGCTAATTATATTGACTGGTATACAAAAGTGATTTTTGTGGCAACATTTGTTAACTTTCCACTTGATGTCTACCATATCTTGAATGACAGCAGTTTAAACAACTGTCACAATAAGCTCCTCGAAAACCATACTTTTCCAGTTTACGTTTTAATGCCAGTGAACGAATATTATAAAATATATCGTAGCGAGTAATATATGAAAAATGGCCGATACTTTAATTTCCGGGATATTTGTGACCGGAATTTATGGGATACGGGATATTTGGTCAAAAATTTACAGGGATACGGGATATTAAGACCCCCCCTAATGGGGCCTCATAATTTCTTCGCGAAATCCAAGATGGCAGCCAAGATGGCGACCATTGGCGAAGTCACAGGAGGACTTGAAATAATGAATAAACAATAATCATTTAACAATAAATAAATGCCAACCTAAATCCCTGTTTTCCAGTCGTTGAGATAGTGTATCACAGTCTACCTGTAGCTCTATGAACCTAAAAATAATAATAATAATAATAATAGTGTGCCCCACACCTGGATCGTCTAGAGCCTCGAACTGTACAAGATCTGACCCACTGTCACCTGATTTATGCGGGAGAACATGAAGTCGGGGAAGATGATCCTCCACCTAAACCAAGACAAGGGCATGATGGCATCCAGACCTATCGAAATCAAAAGTGGCATCTACTAGGGAGACTCCCTGTCACCTCCCTTCTGAACAAGAGCGGCTACGGGTACAACAACCCCAATGAAAAGATCAGCCACCTCTCCTACATGGATGACTTGAAGACCGCTACGCGAAAAAATTACGGCAAGAAAACGAGCCTGCTGAGAACCGTCAAATCGACGACATTATTTTTTTCGGACTGGACAAGTGTGCCTAGCCCACCTTGAAGAGAGGGCGACTAGCCGACTCCAGTAACATCGAGCTCGACGTCAACACCGTCATCCAGGACCCAGAACAGGAAGGCACCTGTAGGTACCTCGGAATCTTCGAGGGAGACGGAATCAAGCACTCTCAGATGAAAGAGAAGATCCGGAAAGAATACTCCCGCAGGATCCTGATGGCACTGAAGTCTTAGCTGAACTCCGCAAACAAACCGGAAGCCATCAACACTTTGGCAGTACCAGTGGTAACTTACAGTTTTAACATCATAAACTCGACGTCACAATAGCTGACCAAACTTAATACAAAGACTAGAGAGTTCCTGACAATGTACAAGATGCACCACCCCAACCCTGACGTGGACAGGATGTATCTTCCCAGAACCGAAGGAGGTGGAGGGCTCATACAACTAGACCTTCACCTACATAAGGACCACTACCTTTCTTGATAATTACCTCAAGGAGACGCAGGAAACCCTTCTCCCCTTTGTCAAACACCATGACGACGGGAAATCCTTTTAATCCATCAGCAGACAGTCAATGAAGTTCAGTCGCGAACCGGGAGTGCCTTCAATACCACCTTTGAGGATGAGGCTAACACCTCCTATGCCTGCAGAACAGAGGCCAAGGCCAAACACCAGGGTCGCCAACAGCTCAGGTCCAAGTGGGAATCAAAAGCGCTCCACGGCAAATAGCCACAGTGGCTGAAAGAGTCTGACGTGGACAAAGACAAGCCCCAATGTTGGCTAAAAGTATCTGCCCTCAAGGCACAAACTGAGGGCTTTATCATCACAGCCGAAGATCAAAGCCTCCCAAGACGCTGGTATCAATACAAGATCCTGAAGACTGACGTGGACCCAAAATGCAGACTGTGTGGCCATTTCGATGGGAACATTGGCCATCTGGTCTCTGTTTGTCCTGGACTGGTTAAAACTGTATACATACACCGCCACAACAAGGCAGATGCACAGATACACTGGGAGATCTGCAAAGCATTTAGTATTGAGGTGAAGGAATGATGGTATTAGCATGAACCCACGACTGTCACCGAGAAGGACAGGGTCACTATTCTGTGGAACACGACCATCCACAGTGACAGGACCATCGCAGCTAATAGGCGGGACATTGTGCTAAAGAACATGAACGGCAAAACCTGTCTTCTCATTGGCATGACTATACTCCTCGACACCAACATTTCAGTCAAAACCACGGAAAAGCTTAACAAATACAAAGACTTGGAAATCGAGGTTGAGAGAATGTGGGGGCTTATAACAACAACAGTCAGCCCGTGGTTATAGGAGCCGCTGGCAGCATCAAGAAGGACATGGAAAAATACACCATCAAAATCCCTGGCAACATCAACATGCATGAACTCCAGAAAATAACTCTTCTTTCTACAACTCACCTTCTCAGGCAGGTCTTCTCCATCAAGTAGAAACCCTCTTTGCCTTCCAAAGTCCATGGTTTGGACTCGGATGTTGAGAGAGAAAATCACTCGCAATTCCACTAGTATATTTTATATCGTAATAATAATAATAATAATTAACTGTGAAACTGTCCGTGTAGTTATTGGAGCACTAGGCCTAGTTAAAAAGGGCCTGGGAAAGTGCGCGGGAAAAATTCCTAGTAACTTCAATATCGAGGATCTCCAAAAGATCTGCCTTTTGGGCACAGCCCATATTTTACGAAAAGTACTGTGTACAAAGTAAATAATGACTCCCCACCAGCCGCTCCCAAGGAAACTAGTTGCTTCTCGGAGCCCTGGACATTACAAACTGCGAAAAAAGAAAAAGATAATAATAATAAACTGTGAGGGAAGCGCGCAGGAATAATTATCCAGCACTGAAATCCTTCTAGAACATGTTCAGTATCTGCCACTGGCCAAAACGAGATGGAAATTGAGCTTCAACAACATTACCTTGGACTGAAGCCTTGCAAGTTTCATTCGCAGTGTCTTGAGTTTCCTTTCTTCATTTTCAATACACTTCAGAGATCTTCCTCTTCCTTCCGTTATTTCATATGTGTTTCAACATTGAGCTTCTGATGGTTCTTCGGGGGCATTGTGCGATTAACTACCAACCATAAAATTATCAACCTTCTGTAGGAACACGGAAGAGCGGAAACTGTGATAGTGCCCACAGTTCACATTCCAACTGCCCAGCACGTGATCAGATATTTCTGTCCTGCAAGAAGCCAAACCATTTTGCGAAGCCTCAAGCTGTTGTCTTACGTAGGGAGACCAATCGTCTGAAAGAGATGAAGCATTTGTGTCAATTAATTTAAGCCTTCGACAGGATACTCATAAGAACATCCTCCTTTAAGACAACCTGGACACCGGTGCCTGGGAAACACACTCCCAATGAGGCTCTGCAGTCAAATGTGCCAGCAGAACCTAAAACCAGGTTCCTTATTACCATCGGATATAACCCTCACTACCAGCGGCGGCTCACAGATCAAGCACTACGATGCCATTACTATAGCCTGTTCAGACAAAGGGTAAATCGCTTGAGCATCCTTCTATGTCACAGACATCCCAGACCCAGTCATCATAGGCCTCCCCAGACTTCCACTGACTTGAAGCTATTCATATTCAACTTTTCTAATCATGAAAACTTTACCACACCCTGCAACGATAAGAAGAATAAATAACCTATGAAAAAGACAAACAGTACTACGTGATCAGTAATATGAGTCACGCTAGAAGCACTATTTCTGCCACTCCAGTTTACCACTAAGTGTTGCCAAAACGCTCTGATATACAAGAAAATATTTATTTTCTTAAATCAGTGATCCTTAACTTTTTCACGTGCGTTTTGTTGACATAAGTTGCTATATACCATATCTGGAAAAAAAGACGCCAGTGACCTATGGCGCCTGCGCATGCCAATTCAATAAATTCCTGCTAATTATTTATGACACACGCGTTGTATTGTTAACAGGCTTAACGAACTGGCTCCCGAGAGGAAAATCAAATGCATGTTTACTTTTCCTTTGAGCACGATACAGGGCGAAACGATACCGCTTACAGAACATAATCCAACTTAACTGGAAACTGAGAGCTGCAACGCTTATTATTTGATGATTGAGGACCAGGTAAAAACATTTAATGATTTCCTTTAATCTACTGCACATTAACTTCATTTATTTTCCTGCAGGAATTTGGCAGGGAACGAGATCAAGGAGCTCCCGTCAGGGATATTATCAAATCTATTTTCCTTGCAAACCCTGTAACCCTGTTATTTTACATGACTGATAGTGTTCATAGTGACCCATAGTGTTCCTTCTTTTTTCAGCTGTCTTTTTTTTTAAGTTAGTTTAAGTTAGTGTCTTTCAACCACTGTCCTTTGACTGCTTAAAATTCAGTCTGAAGCAACCATTTTTGGATTAACCGCAATTTAGCTAGGATCAACGTCTCGTATGTTTCCATCGTGTTATTTCAGAATTCCTTTGTCTTCTCTCTTACTTTTCTGATAACCTTGCTTGACTAACTATTGCTAAAATTGATTTGCCTTGCCTTTTTGCTCGGTAAATTTTTTTAACCCGGACTGGGCGAAAGGTTTTTGCGATGTTCGCTTGCTACGAATTTCCAATAGCTATATATGCCTTTTTCTAACATCATCCTTATTTCCTTGAACAAAGCAACACCTATATGTTACGCTGATTTTGGAAGTGCTTCTTCTCCTCAGTAATCCAACAAAAAAATCACTAAAGTACAAATTTAGAGAGAAACTAGCCGCGCCCAAGAATTAACGATCACTCGGTAAAAAGCTTGGGTTTGATCTGGACAGGCGTCACCTTCAACAATTTAAAGCGATTATTGCTTACACCTCGATGGATGAATTTAGAATTGCGAACGATACCGAGGACCACTTCCTGATACGATCCTCCCCATTGGCAATAAGGAGTTTAAGATATCACGACGGCGACGTCCACGAAAGTGTCACTTAAATAGTGAATTTGTGTTCTTTCAATCTCTTCACGATTACTAGCATACAAAACGCCGCAATTCTCAAGTTGCTTACTTCCTTAATAACATTTCGCCACTTTTGTAACAAAGAATGAGAAGATGCCTTGAAATATTTCACTCCCAGATTTTTTAGGTCTTAAGGTCTTACTCTTTAAAAACGGGCAACAAAAACGTGCAAGTTGTTTAGGAACCTTATGCTGAGGTTGAGGCTGTTTATCATCTAGTTTCAAACCAGTCTTGCAACAAGTCAATTGCGTGAATACTATCCTCTGATTGGAAAATTTTACACTTGAATCATCAACATTCGGCCGTTATCTTGTATTTGAACATGACGAAATGCTTTCCTCTCTGGCAGGAGATTTCCGATGTTAATTGAGTGAAAGTAGCATCTTTATGAAACTATAGAATTTATTGTGCAAACAGCTTGCATCGAGGGTTATATGCTATAAGTCGAGATCAAAACAGACTGCAAATGCTCTTAGTTAACGTCAAAATGAAACTACTTCTGTGACACTTCTTCAGAACATTGTGACGCGTGCGCAAACAAATTGCCTTCCTGTTGGGCAAACCGAATTTGCACACTGCTAAAAGCACGCACGGCCTACGCAATACTGGCGCTACTCGCGCGCGGCGAGATTACTAGTGGGGTATTACGTAGGCACTGTATTAACCATTCCGGGCCATTACCATTTCTGGATATCGGTTTTGTGCCTTGTGATTGGTTGAGGTCAAAACTAAAACAAAATAAACTTGATCGACAGATACTGGAAATAGGTAGAAGTTGAACAATATTTTGATGGCCGCCATTTGCGGTAATCGGCCGAAAAAAAATTCAATACTAAACACTGCACGGAAAGACAGCATAAAAATAATTGATTTATTTGAAACATTCAGCATACAAGACTTGGCATTCACGCACTCTGAAATAGTGAAGAAGATTCTTTCCAGTAAAAATTCATCATTTGAACGTCGCGGTCTTCCACCGGCGAAGCCAACGAAAATGCTTAAACTGAGATCAAATCCTCCATTCAAAGCAACAAAAACCCCAAGAAATTCTGCAGGAAATAGGTCAGCTTCGTAACCTTCAAATGTGAAACCAGCGGCAAAATAGGATTTGCTGCACAGCATAGCCTACCCGCTAGAAAGAAAAGAATCAGACCAATGACAATTTACATTATGACTTAAAAGTCGCTCAGTCCTGTAGAACCC